AGGTGCTGGCAAATAAACCTTGCTGATTGAACCTGCATGGTCTCCAGGAGTTCTTTGGGCTAGGCCTGACATATTACAAACTATCCAAATGTTAAAGTTTGCTCCACAAAGCTACAAAGTCAGTTCAGATCTGGCCATAAATGCATCAAACTTCAGAAGTGTAAATACAGTACTATTTTCTGTTTTGCCTTTTCAAAGTCCAACTTTCACTTCCATACTTCGTCATAGAGAAAAACATTGCCTGCACAATTCTGATCTTTGTAGGTATAGACAAGTGACAGTATCTGAATATTTTTTGTAAGGCCTTCATTGCTACCCTACTATATGGCTTATTTTTAGACTGCTAGTTCCTTTACTGTTGATAGTGATCCCAAAAGGCAGAAGCTGTCATTGTTTCATTATCTTCATTGTTAATTCTAAGGCTGGTTGCCGTACCTGTTGTCATTATTTTGATCTTCTTTCTATTTAATCTTAGTCTTGTTTTTCCACTTTGATCCTTGACTTTCTTTATTAGAGTTTCCTGACCATTTGCATTTTTAGCTTTCAGAGTAGTATAGCACAAATTATTACTGTTTCTTCTTCCAATTTTAAAAGCATATTCATCTTCCAATCCAGTCTTCTTCAATATATATTCAGCATATAGGTCAAATAAATAAGCAGGGAGTATGCAACTTTGTCTCGCTCCACTGCTGACCTGGAGCCAGTATGTTTCACCCTGTTCCATTCAAACTGTGGCTTCCTGTCCTGGGTAAAGGTTTCACATGAGAACAAAGAGATGTTCTAGGATTTCCATTTTCTTAAGGACATTCCACAGTTTGATCAAGACTACACCTTGGTTTTTAACTCACATCAGTCGTCTCAAATGGGTGAAACTTGTAAATGCATGATTAGTGTTGCCTGTCACATCCTGGATTCTGTATGGCCAGGCAGCTCATCCATGACATTTTTGACTACCATCTTGGCTGATGTCACAATTACTATTATTGCAAAGTGTTTGATTCCTTTTGTCTGTTGACCCAGAAACTCCTACTCTTCTAACTCCTGTGTACGTCTCAGTGAGAAGAGTGGAGTAAATTGATGTCACTTGGGGAATTCAGCTTTGAGGACCTGAACTAAGCTTAGTGGAGACAAGTACTAAGCCTTGCCAACTCTTTTGGGACCACTGGAGGCATGAATGTCTCATACCTCTGCAGATACAATGCAAATGGCATTCACTCAATAGGACATCCAAAGAGATGACCTTGTTCTTCCTGAAAGACATACAGGTGAACCAGAATGAGTGGCAGTTGGGCTCAACATTTAAGCCAAACCCAGACAAGATGGTTGAAATCATAAAGTAGAGATCAAAACAACAAAACAAAGTATTACAAAAACCTTTATTAAAGTTACTGCTGAAATAGTGTTGCTTGTGGCTCTAAGAAGAAAAAGATGCAATATCTGCATGGACACATACATTTTTTCTAAACCAGCAAATGCATAGTAAGCTTTCTTTTTCCCATTCATACATTTTATAGTGACCTGCTGAAGAGCAAAAATCTGTCTTTCAGACAAGTATATTTTCAATAATTATCCCTGAAATTTAGGGAAAATGATAGTACATTAAAAACTCCAGAAAATATTTTGCCTAAATGCCTAAAATATTTAGCTAATGTTATGTGGAATCATGTTTGCACAGATATGCATAAAGTGTGAAATATAGAAGCTATATTGATATACTGTGAAGTTATATAAACTTGCTGAAATGTAAAAATACTTTTTTTCCATTTCTTTAGATAAAACCGGGTGATGACTTTGAATCTGAGCAATATTTAATCACTGTAGAAAGTGAAAATGTTTCCAAAACTGGTTATAATGTCCAATCAAAGGACATAGAACAACGAAAATTAACAAGTAATCCCTTGAAATCCCTTGCTGTTTCACCTCTATGTCGTCCAAAGCGAAAATATTCTGTATGTTGTCTTTTCCCTTTCTTTTTCCATATGTAATATTTGATAAGACTGTGCAGTGATCTGGGTTTGAGGGAGAAAAGGTGATTTGGAGGATGCAGGGAGCTC